TGGCAAGCAGGTGTTATCAAATCCTCACGGTACAGAAGACAGCATCAAACCTTGACGAGCCTGGATGATGTGCACTGTGTCATGTAGTTACTAAGCGGTGTCTTTCCGAAGGCAGGAAGGTTGCGGGGTCTTCCTGAAGCTGACTGTAACGGATGTGTGGTCTGCACGTGGGTGTGTCTATCTTGCCCTTCTCTAGGGCTCCATATCTGTCGTCACCCCATTTCCACGCCCCCCCCACTGCCACCTTTCAGCTTCTGCTCTTCTGATACTTTGCAGACGTACCTTCGCCTTCTCCCAAGTCCATTTCTTTTTTGTTTTTTTGAGATGAAGTCTTGCTCTGTCACCCAGGCTGCGGTGGAACGGTGCCATCTCGGCTCACTGCAACCTCTGCACCCCCTGGATTCGAGCAATTCTCCTGCCTCAGCCTCCCGAGTAGCTGAAATTACAGGCACGCACCTCCAAGCTCAGTTAGTTTTTGTATTTTTAGTAGAGACAGGGTTTCACCATGTTAGCCAGGATGCTCTCAATCTCCTGACCCTGTGGTTGGCCCGCCTCAGCCTCCCAAAGTGCTGGGATTACAGGCATGAGCCACCACGCCTCCCGAGCCCATTTCTAAGGGGCTGTATGTTTCTGGTGCTGAGTGTCTGTGGGTGACCCTTGTGGCATCGACGTGCCTCACAAGCTTGTGAATACCCCAGTGTGTGTGAGTGTGTGACACTCTTTCTGAGTGTGTGACACACTGTGTGTGAGGCGTGTGTGCATGTTGCTGGCTGTGAGCACCTATGGATGGGCTTAGGGGACTGGGTATGTGCATGAGTGTGTGTGCAAATGTGTGAGCACATGGAGGTATCCTCTCTCCTCTCTCCTCTTTCAAATTTGCTCCCAATCTGAAAGGTTCAGGTCAAGCCCACTTCTCCAAGAAGCCCCCCTACTAGGCCATAAGAAGCCCTTCCTGCTGACCTCCCACCACCCCCTCCATCAGAACCACACACTCCAGGACTCTGCTTTCGAGTGGATCTACCTCCTAGAATGCCAACTGCCACATGCTGCAGGGCAAGGTGGGCATGCAGGTGCACATCCCTGCCCAAGTTCAACCATCAGGCTAGACCTCCTGGGGTCACCTCCCCCCCCCCGCATGTATGTTGTTTAATGGTGCTTTGGGGAATGAGGGGCACCAGCCTCAGTAGGGTCTAGTAGGCAGGACTGGTGGCCTCCAGCAGGCAGAGGCAGGTGCACAGAGGTGGCTGCACCCGGCTCCTTTCCTCCCTGTGTGTGGCAGCTGAGTCTCTAGGCCGGAGGATGGAACTCCACACTGCACTTTCTCAGTGAGCTCCCAGGGTGGGCTAATGGGGACCCTGGGAATGCAGAGACTTGCCTCCCTAGAAAGACCTGTGGGCCTCAGGGTAGCTGGTCCCATCCTTTGCTCCCTCCCCTGCACCCGCCCCCAGGCTGGGCCCCAGAGCAGCGCTCCTTCTGCTGTAAACCCCTCTCCTTCTCCCAGGGCACTGGTTCCTCTGTGAACCCTTTGGCCCCTCCTGTAGGTACTACAGGGTCCTTTCTCTTTAATCCTCTGGAAATCAGGCCTTTGCTGTTAGTGGAGTTGCCTGACAAACTAGAGAATCATTTTGGCCTGGCCCGGAGCCAGCCATCCTCTCCTGGTCCGCACTGGAGATCCTGGAGGCACAGGCCAGTTGAGTCCCCACCCCCACAGCCGGCCTTTCCCTCCGTCCTGGCCAGGCAACGGCCTCAGGGTTTGTGTTCTAGCTGTTTCCTCTGCCTGAAATGTTTTTCCTCAGACTCTGCTTGGCTCTTCCTTCTCTAAGCACCTGTTGAAATGCTGGCCTCTCTATGGGGCCTACCTGGGGCCCCCAGCTTCCTACTGTGACCTGTGTGAGTGCCTGCCCCTCACCCTCCTGCACTCCTCATCTCCCCCGCCCCGTGCACCCCCCAATCTGCTTCCTCTTTCTATAGAACCCACTGCCTACATAACGATGATAGAATGTAAGGCCAGGCGCAGTGGCTCACATCTGTGATCCCAGCACTTTGGGAAGCTGAAGCAGGAGGATCCCTTGAGGCCAGCCTGGGATCAACAGCAAGACCCATCCCTACAAAAAAGAAAAAGAAAATTAGGCAGGTGTGGTGGTACACACCTGTAGTCCCAGCTACTTGGGAGGTTCAGGTAGGGGGAATCACTCGAGGATGCGGGTTTGAGGCTGCAGTGAGCTGCGACTGTGTCACTGTGCTCCTGGGCCACAGAGGAAGACCCTGTCTCACAAAAAATAAATAAATTAACACATAAAAAAAGAAGAAGAAAGGAATGTATTTATTCTGCCTATTGCTACTCCCCAACAAAATATAGGGACCCATAAGGGCAGGAATAGTTTTTTTTTTTTTTTTTTTGAGACAGAATTTCGCTCTTGTTGCCCAGGCTGGAGTGCAATGGCGCGATCTCAGCTCACTGCAACCTCTGCCTCCCGGGTTCAAGCGATTCTTCTGCTTCAGCCTCCCGAGTAGCTGGGACTACAGGTGGATGCCACGACACCCAGCTAATTTTAGCATTTTTAGTAAAGATGGCCAGGCTGGTCTCAAACTCCTGACCTCAGGTGATCTGCCCGCCTTGGCCTCCCAAAGTGCTGGGATTACAGGTGTGGGCCACCACGCCCAGCGAGGGCAGGAATCTTTCCTTTTCTCACTGATGTCTCCCACGTGCCCAGAACTTGCCAGGCCATTTTAGGTGCTCCATAGACATTTCCTTTGGTTGTCTCTGGCACTGGAGCTGAGAGCAGAGAGAAGCCTGAGGGAGGAAGGGGGTCCTCAAAGCCATGGCTGCTCCTCAGACTGGGGGCAGGGGCAGGGGCAGGTGAGGGAGAGGAGCCGGGCAGCCACTGGATCTCTGGACCCCTCTACCCCGCTTGCCCCCCTCCCTGAGGTGGCGTGCCCTCCCTGCACACGCATGTTGGCGCACACCTGCGCACCCTGCATCCGCAGCCCCACCTCCTACCTCATCCTTCTGCACGCGCAGCTGACGTGCCTGTGGTTTTGAGGCCCCAGAGGTACAGATCAGAGTCAGGGTGTCTGTCCTCTGCGGCTGCAGCAGGGGGGTGGGGTGGAGACAGGTACCCCCTGCAAGCAAGCACACAGAGGCCTCTTCCCCCAGACCCCCTTGCACACACATGTGGACAGACAGGTGGTCCCCCAGGCTGGCCGTCCTTAGACCTCAGGCCCAGAAGCTGTGCACCTATCTGTACTAGGCCTTGCTGCAGGGAGAGAGGGGAGGCAGAGGAAGTGGTGCGGGCACCCTTCCTAGCGTCTGAACTTCCACCTTTAGTGTTTGTGCCTGATGCATGGGTGCCCAGCTTTGTTTGTCAGTTCTGTCCTTTGAGGGAAGCGTTATTTCTTTTGCCTTCTCATGTCAAAACCACATCCCTGCAGGACAGGTTCCACATTCAGCCCTTAGTGGTGTCAACCTTGTCTGCTCAGGGCTCCCTCATGCACACAGCATGTGGCCAGTCCTGGGGAGCCTGCTGGGCCCCTGCTCAGAAACCTGCTGCCGCCCAGGGCCTGCCAGGTCCAGCCCTGCACTTGAACCCAGTGCTCGAGGTCCTGCCCTGCTGCCTTCCCTACTCCAGCATCCTGCTTTGTGGGGAGATGAGTGAGGCCTTAAGCCAGATGTCCAGGTTCAATGCCAGTTCTGTATGATCGGCAAGTCACTTAGCCTCTCTGTGCCCAGGTTCCCTCCCTCGCAGAACTATTGTGAGGGTTAAGTAGGTTCATATGTGCAAAGTGCTTAGCACAGCCCCTAATGTGCGGGAAAGTTGTCCATAAATATTAGCTGCCATGATGATCATTTCCTGGCTCAGTCAGCGGGATCTGAGAAATGGCTTTGTCAGGGTTTTACAGCCCAGCTCCGGCCTCCCAGACTGAGCCAGCTGCTTCCAGGTCACCTGGGAGCTTGTTGGAGACTCAGAGTCCCTAGCCACTCCAGGGGTTGTGACACAGCAGCTGTGGGTGGGGCTGGGGACCCCACACCTGGGCCTGCAGGCATCTGTGAGACAGCAATCCCCTGCAAGGCCCTTCCCCAGCCTCAGGCTGGTCCACCCACCAGACCTTTTCCACTCTGCTTCTCCAGATCCCTTCTGCCTTGCAAGGCTGCTCTCCGGTGGGAAGTAGGCCCATGAACCCTGCCGCCCACGGCTCCACAACCCCTACTTTCTGAAGCCTCAGTTTCCTCAAGTATGAAAGGGGATAAAAACGCCCACATCTCAGGATGAACGTTAAGCGAGGTCTTAGACGCAATGTGCCTGGCCCCTGGCAGCCAAGAAGCCTGGTTATCATGACTGCTCTTGCTGTGATTGCCCGACCCCGCACCTGCTCAGCACTTGCATGCTCCTGCGGGCTCCCAGCAGGGTCAAAGCACCTGCACTCACATCAGGTGTTAGGAAAGACCTGTTGACCAGGGTGGGCTCTGATTCACCTTCCACCTCCTTGCCTTGGGCTCTGGGAGCTGAGGGAGCACCATGGCTGGAGTCTGAGGGTGGCTGGCCCTCACTACAAACAGCTGAGTGAAGGAGGAAGGAAGAGAGGTTGAACTGAGTGGTTCGGGCCCCAGAGGAAGTTGAAAGCCAGGCCACGGAGTGACAGTTCTTGGGGGCCCCACTGCAGCTCCCTTCCTGCCCCTCTGGCTGCTGTCCGTGGAGAGTGCACAGGTCCTGGGTAAGTAGAGGCAGGATCCCAGCCTGGGCCAACTCCTGGGCTCTGCCACTGCAGACCTGGGCAGCCACCAGAGCTGTGCAGCTCAGGGTCAGCACTGCCCTCTCCAGGCTTCCCCGTGAAAGCTGTTTACCCACACCTTCTCACCGCATCCCCAACTCCAGGCCCTACATTGCTCCGCCTCGCCCAGGTGCAGCCCTAGAAAATATTCATGACGCACCTATTATGTGCCAGGTGGTTTCAGTTCCACAACCTCATTTAATCCTCCACAATTCCCTGACATTTTGTAGGAAAGCAAACTGGCTCAGAGAGGCTGAATAGCCTGCTTCAGATGACACAGCTTGTGGGTGGCCGAGCTGGCCTTCCAACCCAGATTTCTGTCATGAGGTTCCTCCAGCCGACAGGTGAGTGCATTTGTGATGAAAGAGACTGCAATGAGGCCTCTTGTTTGTCAAGGAGGAAATGGACATCCAGCGCTGGGAATTGAGTGCCCCAGGCCACGCCACAGGCTCCTGGCAGAAACAGGATGGCTTACAGAACCTTCTTTTGGCACTGGGTGCCGATGGGAACAGCTCTTCCGGGAAGCCTTCCTCCTTCGCTGCCTCCAGGTCCCTACTCAGAGGCCATCTCCCCAGAGAGGAGCGTTTCTGGAAGCCCTACTTGAAGTAGGGCACTGTCACCCTCTACCCCTAGGAAGGCTTTAGCTTTCTTCGTGGCACTTACTGTCACTTGCAGTTTTATGTATCCAATTATTGATTCATTGTTTCCCCCTCATGCTAGAATGTGAACTCCATGAGCTCGGGGAGGGTCTGTCTCGTTCTCTTACCTAGAATACTAGTACCTTGCACAAACTCTACAATTTTTTGTGAAATGAATGAATGAACGAGAGTGTCAGGTGATCAAGAAGCAAGCATACATGGGGGAAAGTTTTTGGTGTGATGATTCTGGTGGAGGAGGAAACTGAGAAGTAATTTACAAAAGGGAAGGGGCAGGGCCAGTGTGGACAGCCATAGCGTCTGGCACGGAGACTGCCAAGTGAATGGTGCCCCCTGCAGTTGGACAGCTCTCAACTTGGACAACAGTCCAAGGTGCTCCTGGGGGTGGGAAAGGACCATGCCGTCAACAGAGACCGAGGGAGAAGTGAGCTGTGAGTGGGGCACGTCTGCAGGTGCCTGTAGTGGGAGGAACAGGCTGTTCCCTGTGTGAGGATGCCACGTGGTTGCGGTTAGCAGTTTGCCATCCGGTGTTGTCTCCACAGACAGTTGTCCAACCAGGGAGTGGGTGATTGCTCTGCTGCGAGCAATCTAGTACCTGGAGCGCCCAGCGAGCTGTGGGCAGGAAAATCACCCGACACACCCCACAAACACACATCAAACACTGTGGACAAAGATAATCGCAGCAGGCGGAGGGAGGGCTGTTTCCTGAGCCAGCCCCGGCTGGGAGGTGGAGGACACCATGTACTGAAGTCTGTCCCCTGCACAGGGGCCTCGGTGAGGAACTTGTCACAGCTCCGGTGGCCCGGCCCCCTTCCTCCTTCCCGGCCCCACAGGCTGGGCACAACAACAGTCACCTGGTGATCGCGGGCTGCCTTCAGTGAGTCACCCTGCCCACAGCGAGCCTGGCTGGACGATGTTATCAGCTCCCCGCTTACTTAATTCCTCGGTTGACATCACCACCGCCTCCGTCTTCTCCTTCTCGGCATTGCAGCCTGCAGCCTGGCATATCCTGGAAGGGAAGGCGGTGGAGGTCTCTTGCCAGAAACTAGCAGGGCAGGTAAATTGGGACCTTCAGTTCCTTGGCCTTTAGCCCCAAGGGGCGTGGCCTGGCTTCTTGCTTTGCACGCAGGGGCCTCGGTTTACCTCCCAGGAGGTGCTCTTTGCTGTGAAGTCCTGGGAAGCACATGACACCCCTGCTCTGTGCTCATCCCCTCTCTCCTTGTGCAGAGGGGGTTTCCTGTCAGACAGAGGCCTTGATGGATGCCAAGCTGCTTGCCCTGCTATGTGTCCAAGTGTATCCTGGGGTCGTACCCTCAAGTCCAGCCTAAGTTCTGTGTAGCGTGGCCCCAGCTGCCTCTGAGCTTCTCAGATGGGGCAGCTTTGCTGGCCTTGTGCTCACCTCTGTTACCAGGCCACCATGCCCTGGAACTCAGCCCCTCACCTCCTGGGAGCCCAGGCCAGCCCTTCACCACCACAGCCTAGCATTCCTTCTTGCGTCCCTTCACCTTGACCCCTCCCAGTGCCAACCTGCAGCCCCAGTGGCACATGGGTATGGTCAGTATAGCAGTGACAGAAGTGACCGGAGACGCATGTGGTTCCATTTCAGCCTGGTCTCCGCCTCTGCATCCCAGTGGGATGGGGGAGGGAATTTGCTTCTCTCCCCAAACTGTCCTGCTCTACCCCCTCCCCACCATTGGAGCCGGGCAGCAGATCGGGGAGGCTTAGAGGGCCCAGGGAGGGGCTGAGCGCGGGCGTCCTGGGCTGGACCTCCATCTGTGGTGGGAAGCTACTCAAGCCTGGCATTCGAGGGAGGCAGTGAGGGGAAGCAGGTGGGGCTGGGCAGGGACAAGGGGCAATGCTCGGAGCTGCCAGACAGCTTCCCCTATGACCCTCAGGGGATACTTCCTCCAGTGGCACTGCCAGAGGCTGGGGAAATAGTTGTCTAAACACCAGTCACCTTTACTCTAGTTATTTGACCAAAACAAATTGTTCCTTAGAAGGAAAAAGAAAAAAACAAAACCCCAAAACCCCACCATTGATGTCGTGCTGATCACCCAGTGGGCTGATAAGTCCTGGTGCAGAAAGCACCCCTGGGCAGGGCGAGTACCCCTACCTCATTCTTCCCATGGGAAGGGCATCAGAGGTCGGCCCCGCTAATCTGCACACAGATGCTGCTGCTGCCTCCACATCCTGCAATGCTGCAGAATGCTGTTCTAACATTCTGGAGAGTGGGGGGCCAGAGAGAGGTCAGAACAACCCTGGGCTCATCCCCACACACGCCACTCTCACTGGACAGTTTCCTCGCCTGTTGTGTAGAGGAGCTATTGAGATATTAAGTGTGGAAGTGTACTGAGAGGCTGGGGCCCTGTAGAGAAGGGAAAGGGGAGAGGGAGAGTTGCAGAAAAGAGACCCCACCTCAATGATTTCAGGTCAGTCGATGACATCTGGCCTCAGATCTGTTAGGCTCCCTTTAAGTCCTGAGTTGAGTTCTTATTCCTGCTTCTAGCGAAGTGCACGCCTTGACAGTGATTGGCACCGTTGCTGAACTTGGCTTGTGGTCTGCTCAGACCCTCGGCTCTTTCTGGAATAAAACCTGACCAGATTTAATGGGTGTTCTTATGTTGTACTTCCCTCCTTGATTGCAGACTAAGCTCAAATTCTAGTCAACCCTGATTGTTTCCCTCAGTGGGAGAGTACAGCCTGACTTCAGCTCTGGTTTGCGCCCTTATCCCTCTTT